CCCGGTTTTGTCTGAGCCGCCCTGAGTCCCCTCAGGGAAAAGGGCGGCCTACAAATACTAATAAAACTCTAAACTCTAAAACTCTAAATGTGTTCCTGACTTAATTTGTGCCAAAACTCAGCTTTGTGTCTGTATTTTTCTAGTCTTCTGAGTTGTTTAAAGTTACATTTCCATGAAAGCTTTACAAAAGTAAGTTTGATCACACTTTTATCCCATGTGAAGTTCTATAGTTCCTTATTCTTGGAGTACCAATAGACTCCAATCTATCATTCTAAGCATTTTAATTTATTGACTACGAGGAAGATATTTAAAGGAAGTTCGTAACAAATGTTCTGGTCTCTACAAATTAGTGAGAAATTTACAGCACACTGCAGTCCAAATCCTATGGCAGGTAAGTGCTTATTTCTTTTCATTGGAATAACATCAAGTCTTCATTTTTCCTGGCAGGGACACTGCCAGCGTATCCCCCTATAACATTATCTATGCATGCGGTGCAGCTGTTACTAAAGCTCTCCTGCTGGCTTATACATTACCCTCTTCAGTCCACCAAACAACTCAGCAGCATGCTTAGAAATTCTTTTCTCCATATTTCCTGTTGTTCAATTATCTATTGGTTTTGGGGCAGCTCATTGCAGTTATAATATGTTATTCAAAAGCAATGCCCCTTGGTTTTAAGTGATTTGTCCACAGACTGTGGATTGTGGGGAGAAATATTGACAGTTCACTTCCCTTAATTGTTCTCGTTCCTTCTTGGTATATCATCATTATTCAACATCCAGTCCTGCTTAAAAAATGCAAGAGAACAGAGAAGCTTCAATCTGCCTCAAAAGTATGATGTCTTTTGATTTTCAGAACTAAATTAGAGCAATGCCGCTCCATTTAAAAGTCTAAGGTCACCTAAAATGGACTTGGATTGGTTCTCCTCCTTCTCCCCTATCTGGTATTGCTGTTTTGAGTAGTTGTGGTCTCATTTTTCAGTGTTTCTTTTCCTTTCCACGCCCTTGGCTTTTTATTCTTATTCTGGACTTATTTTATAAGTCATAAATAGCTTGCAAAGTATTGAGAAGCAAAGCAACACGGATGCTTCTAAGAGCAATTATGTTTTTAATGGAGCAATATTCTCTGTAGGTTCAGTTGTTTGCTTGCTGCCCAATGACTAGTTTATGATTGTAATTTGAGGCTTTCTTAATTGTTTCAGGTTAAGTTTCTGTTTCAAAAGATTATGTTGCAAATATCAACCTCTCTGAGCAAGCAAAGGCATAGAGCACTTTCCTTGAACCAAACAGAATAACTTGCTTAATTTTTGCTGCAGCAGTTTGCATAGTGAACTACATAGCTTTTGTAATCTGATTATCAATGATTATCTACAGTGACTTTAATCGTAGTAGTTATTCTGTAGCAAATGCCTGCAGACAATACTTGTTTTTCCATCCTTCAAAATATTTGGATTAAAACTCATGTTCTGTGATAGTAATATTCAGTAGTTCTTCGCTCTGCAGCAACTTCCTTTATGTTCACCTCTATTCTCTCTTCAAACTGGCAAGAAAGAAAGAAAACATGAGTTTTTTTCCTTTATCTTCAACATTCTCTGTTTTTTGTGACTTAGTTTGTGTCCTCACGGGAGGTTGACGGCGCAGCCATGACTGTCTCCTATACCTTGAAAGTGGCCAATGCTCGCTTTGGGGGCTTCTCTAAGCTGCTCTTCCGCTGGAAAGGGAGCATCTACAAGCTGCTGTACAAGGAATTTCTGGGCTTCATTGTGCTGTATGCAGGACTGAGTGCCATTTACCGGTAGGTTGGCAATTATAATGGTTCATCAGATATTAAAACTTAAGAGGTTTGCAAAACAGATTATTGTAGCTCTGCAAGCATCCTTCTGCAAATGAATCCTATCCTAAGCAGCAGTCTGTGTGAACTGTAATTCCACTGAACTATGAAGCAAAGTTTGAAAACAGGTGGACAATGTTTGTGAGAAGTGAAAATGGGGAACTCAGTATAAATTTCCAGTAGCCTGAGAATAATTTATGATAGAATCTTAAAACATGGAACTATAGCCCCACTTTTCCTCCAACCCTTTCATACACACATAAAATTTGTTTGTTTGCTTGGAGCAGTGTTTCTCAATCTCAACAAATTTAAGGTATCTGGACTTTAACTCCCAGAATTAAAAACTACATGCTCAAAAAACAATATAAGATCAGTATGAAGTTATACCATAATAACAGTCAAGATTCCTATTCATCATTTCATTCCAATAAATGGCAAGACCCCAATTTTATTTTTTCCTCACAGAGCCATTCAAAGGCTGATGCTCATGAAAACAAGTGAAAGATAATTCATTTTCTTTTCTAATTTTTTTTAAAATTATAAAACAAACAAAAACATACATAAAAATATATCATCAATTACATATCTATTTAGCATGTTGCTTGGTCACAAACATTTGTGCATCACCGCTTTCAAATGCATATAAAATCAGTAGTTATCAACCCACTATACGTTAATACATTATCATTGTAAATCATATATTAGCAATAGCAATAGCAGTTAGACTTATATACCGCTTCATAGGGCTTTCAGCCCTTTCTAAGCGGTTTACAGAGTCAGCATATTGCCCCCAA